TTGCGAACCCCTTAGATGATGAACGAAAATCGGTAGGCTACAGGGGAGAGTCGGATAAGAATCGGGTCAAGGTTTGGGAACAATCAAATGCCCGAGCGAGAAGTCACATGTGCGCGCACACGGTTACGGCGAGACGTGAAGTCAGGGTCAAGCGGAATGTGTGGAGGAGACAGTGAGGACAATGGATAGTTCAGGCTTGTCTGGACGCCATCGGTGATACCAATAACAACACCTGGAGCGGTAACCAGTGCTTGTTTGTGCACCTGTGTGAGATGTGAGACACACATGAGTGACGGAAAGATTAACATTCGACCATTTCGACTTCGAGTAGATCCACCAATCGCGTCCCATTGGGACCCTCCCTCCCAATGACATTAATGCTTTTTCCGTAATGCGTCACCTATTGAACCAAATCTACAGTGCGATTGCTCCATCGTTTTCGATCGTCTCGTCCCTCTCACCCATGACCTTAAGCAAGTAAATTCCGTCTGACCCCTAATGCGATCTGATTGGATCATATCCCGCGATCTGCGACACTTGGAGCCCCTCATTCCAACAGGAGACCGTCTGATTACTGGCTTGTACGTTTTGTAATGCTCCTGTTGTTAAGTCCAGTCCATTCGAGTGCTTATGCTACACAGTCGAAGTTCACTGGGTCTGCCTGAGACACACAGCTATAAAAAGGTGTGGTTTCTCGCTCGGATTAGCTGGGCAAGCACCAGGTCCCGTGTTGCGGCTGAACCATTCGGTCGATCGATAGATGAACCCGACCGGTCGTGTGATTTTCGAGCCGGCACAGGAGGAGGATAGGTTCCGAATGCGATGCAGCCTGTGTTGGTAGAGAATCGCCCCGAGAGAATCAGTTGTGGAGCGGTGCACCATGTGGGAAATTCCGAATGGCAAATGCATGAGCGATTATGACACTGGGCCAACACTTGACTCGTCTTAGATAGACGCACTACTTTTCGAAGCGGGTTCGGCAAACAGATAATCATAATAAAACTTTCAACTTGTCTTAATAGCGGACAACAATATCCCCTAACGTGAGATCGAAGCAGGTCAAGCATCACTTACTGTCCACAGTCTAAGCGATCGCGATTTATAAAAATTCCCCTGTACCCTACCTGGCCCGACTACTCACCAAAAAGGAACAGATCTCAAATGAACTACGTCAAATGCTTTGTACATGATACATATATCACCGGACTTCTTTACCTTTTGTTTTGATTATTTTTATTTCATTCTGCGCGACGAACAATGTACATTTTTAACTGAAATGTAAGCATATATGCTTACAAAGTTACAAATACAATACAATACAATACAATTCCGTTAAAACATCCCCTCCTTGTTCGTTCAAAAACAATCAGTCTGAGCTCTGGATTTACCATGACGATAGAGCGACATAAAGCCGGTTATCAACTGAGTGTCAAACGGTTTATGCATCTGATACATTTCACAGTACAAATGGTATTTACAGAATGATGTGAACTCTCATACACCTCATGCTGTATTGTTCATAGTTGTTCATAGGCACAGCAACACAGACATTATCTATGTTTTTTTCAGGATCATTGGCACTTACAAGTCTGTGAGAATGGTTGAATGATATTCGCAACAGTAATTCTTAGAGTTGAGAACCTGATTGGCCTTGTACAGCATAGATTCGTTTGTACAGTTACTAATTTGGTCATTCCAGGCGATAGTGAACCCAAGATATGATAAACTTTGTTCAGTGCGAGGAAATTAAATTGGGAGAGTAACTAACTTGAACAAACCATGCATTGAGTTTGAAAGTCTATAACTTCAGTTGAAATATATATTTACAGGTAATAACGGTTTTGACTTAGATGAAAATATCTGTTGTGTTAGTCGGTGTGAATTACCTAAAATCCAAAATTTTAAAATGAAATCCGAAATGTACAAAATATTTCGGAAGTTTGATGAAGTCCGCGTTACTTCGGTTATCAGGAATTTAAAAGTTCTCTTTGTTAGATATGCATATCTGGATTCGGAACCTATCCTCCTCCTGTGCCGGCTCGAAAATCACACGACCGGTCGGGAATTTGGGCCGCTTGATAAGTGTCTAGTGGACACCACTGTAAAAAAATGGTTTTTATTGTCTTGTGTACCAAATATCGGGTCCGACAGAAGGCTGAATACCTAGCGTAAACAATATGTAACGCTTGTTGATAGTTCACTGAAGATAGACCAAAAATGGATTGGAACTGGTGCATAGCGTAAAGCAGCCATCAGTTACGTATGAGTTACATCAGCCATAACTATTATTCAACAATAATTTACCGTGAAAGCATATTTTAAGCGCAGCGTGTGAATGAATCCTTCCGATGACAATAAAAGAGAGCACAAATACAGCAATATTCTCGGTTTACATATTGAAGATGATTGAATGATTTATAACATTAGTTAATCATGTACGTTATAAAAGCTGCGTGAAGGCATCACTCATGCTAGAGGCTTGTGTGCATCTTGTTTCGCTCAATCACGCAAGTGAGCAGGCAAAACAATCCGTCGACCAGAAGAACGTGAGACTGATATGTCGTCCTGGTTTAATAAGTTTTTCGGCAATTCTGACCTGAACGTAAGGTAGTTGCCGCATTCCAAATCGTAGCAGGTACAGCTATCTGCGAGGTAAGTGCCCCAATCGTCGATCGTTCAGGAATGACATGGATCCTTGTACTGTCGTGCATGATACTATCATCGACATAAGCTGTCTTGAGACGTTCCATGCTAATGGTATCATTGCGACAAACTTGATCAACATTGAGGAAATTTTCGTGATGTGAGGTTACTCA